GTCGCCATGATTCTCCCACTCCAGACAGAAGCAGGTTAAGATCATTTCTGGTAAGCCAGCTCGTGGGCTACACAGATTAATAAAAATGGGTTAGATCAATATGTAAAAGCTAGCCAATAAGAAACTAAAACTAATGGGTCAGGCAGTGTTTAAAAGAATACAGTTTCCGTGTAATTATTTCGGGTAAAGCTAGCTGGGTGGCGGGACACAGCCCGCCGCTCCGTATTTCAACACCTTGGTTCATACTTTTGTATAGGCCAAGGAAAATCATTAATTACTACACTAGGCAAAGACATAGGATGGTCTTTCTCATCATGGATATTTCAATAGTTATGAGTGTAAAGAATGTGTTTATGAAACAGCACTTTCAAGTAGGGCTAATGTGTAAGTGAAGACAATTCCAAACACCAGTCTTAGGAGTTTTCTCTGTGGGTAAGTATGGATTCCAAGTAAATGAACATCTTGTCCTTGTGTACAATCTAGAAACTTTTTTAATGTTTGTATTTCATACCTATATTTATTCATTGAAAAGATTCTTCTCTCATACAACACATCCCAACTACAATCTTCTGCCTCCACTCCTCATACCTCTCCCTACCTCCCCTCTCACCTAGAGCCACTCCCTCTCTGTTTCCTCTTCAGAAAGAATAGGTCTCTAAGAGATGAGAGATGACAGCCCAAATCGGACAAAGCAAAATACAATAGGACAAGGCAAAAGCCCTCAGATGAGGCAGGACAAGGCAACTCAACAGAAGGAAAAGCACTGAAGGAGCAGGTAAGAAGAGCCAGAGACCCCCACTCCCTGTTAGGTGTCTCACAGAACACGGAGCTGACAGTCATGACATATGCAGAGGACCTCCTGCAGACACATGCAGGCCCAGTGCCTACTGTTTCAGTCTCTATGAGCTCATGTGAGCCCCGCATAATTGATTCAGTGAGCCATGTTCTCCTGGTGTATTCCATCCCCTTTAACTCCTACAGTCTTTACTCCCCCTCTTGGTTGGAGGTCCCCAATCTCTGAGGGGAGGGACCAGACAGAGACCTCCAATTTACACATTCTCTCCACATAATGTCTGGCTGTGGATCTCTTCACCCGCTCACATCTGCTGCCAGAGATGACTGGACAAGACACTGTTCTATGACTATAGCAGAATATTATTAGGAATCACTTCATTGATCTTTTTTCCAATTGTGTTTGCTTCTATCCCAAGTCTTTGGGTTATCCAGGCCATCCAGGCACTGTAGGGCATGAGGCTCCCTCTTGTGGCATGGACCTCAAGTTAAACAGGTCTAGACATATTTATATAACTTTCCCTGTGCTAAAAATTGAGCTGTTGGCACTGTTGTCTTTTAATTCTAATCTTCCTAATTTCTCATATATGATATCTTCTGGTATTGTTGCTGTACTTCTATCTCACTCTTCTCTAGTTATGAGTTATCATTTTAGGCTAAATTCACTTTAGGCAAATTTTTAGTTCTTCCTAGATGAAGGGCATTGCAAATAAAAAAGATAGTCAAATTCACAACTGATAAATTGAGAATGTCTTCAAAGAGTTTTAGAACGTAAAACCCAAAAATACCGTAATAATAATTGTTATCTTATACACATTCAAAAGAATTAAAAAAGAGAATGGATTCATGAAATTTATCACTGTGCAATGAATATATGCAAAATACTTATATATAACATACCTGAAATTATTGTATTTTTATTCTAATTTTATGGTTTCTGAAGGATAGCTCTGAAAATCACTGCTTATCATTCCTCATAAAATATCCATTATTTTGCTACAGGAAACTGCTTTCTTTTTCTCTTTCTAATTGCACAAATGCTGTTCAATTTTCTTAGTTCTTTTAAAGATTTTTTCTTTATTCTTACTTATTTCTAATTTTTCTCCAAATCTTTAATTCTATAATCTTTTATTTTCTAATCCTCTATCACTTTATAATTCTGGTCAGTCTCTTTGCATACCTTCTTCGGCTATATAACCAATGAGAAAAAAGTTGGTGGATATGTGAATATTGAGCACTCAAAAATAGAGATCAGAATTTAAAAAAAGTGTAGACAAACGGGACAAAATTTAGATCTGGAGTAAAAATTTGTAAATAATAGAAAAGAGTATTCAGTTACATATGTTGATAGCTAAAGGGAGTTATAAGAGTAGAAGAAAAACAATGGCAAAGATACTTAAAATCTGTAAGTGTGATAGATGCAGAATTGCAACTTTTATCACTTGTTAAAGAGGTAGGAAAACAGCTTTTGGCCCAAGAATCACCTAGGTGACCACTGAGACTGAGACACTATGCGAGCACAGAAGTCACCTGATTCTAACCCACCTTTGGGTCAAAGGCAAGCAGGAGCAAAAGTAAGTTTAGAGAGCAAATTTAACCTCCCACAGTCAGTACCCCAGAGTCAATCAATAAAACAAAGGAGAGAATTCAAAAAGTCTCCTAATTTTATGATTTACAAGTTAAAATTAAAAAAAAGATATTTAAAAATCTGCCCGCCAGAGCTTAGAAAGACAGGTTGGCAGACCGAGAGAGATTGTGTTCTTCCCCCTGCCATGCAGTGCAATTTCAACTGAAAGCTGCAATACAGGTTTAAAATAAGAAGCCTCTGAGAACTACAACTTCAGGTGAATTAAAAGTAAATAATAAGGTTAAATATGTTTCTTTTCCATTTCACAATTTTGCTTCTTTGTCAAAAGTCAGCACTCATTGTCAGCCACATTCAGAGTCGGGTTTGATCACATGCTCATTCAGTCCCAGTCCAGCTGGCCTTGGTGAGCTTCCATTAGATCAGTCACACCATCTCCGTCGGTAGACGCACCCCTCGTGGTCATGACTTCCTTGCTCATGTTCTCCCTCCTTCTGCTCTTCATCTGGACCTTGGGAACTCAGTCCAGTGCTCCAATGTTTCTCTGTCTCTATCTCCATCCATCGCCGGATGAAGGTTCTATGGTGATATGCAAGATATCCATAAGTGTGGCTATGGGAGAAGGCCAGTTCAGGCACCCTCTCCTCTGCTGCCAAAGGACCTAGCTGGGGAAATCCCCTTGGACACTTGGGAACCCCTCTAGAGCCAAGACTCTTGCCAACCCTAAAATGGCTCCCTTAGTTAAGATATTTTCTTCCCTGCTCCCATATCCACCCTTCCTCCATCTCAACAGTCCCATTTCCCCAAGCTCTCCCCATCCTCCACTTCTCCCTCCCCATCTCCCCTTCCCCCAAACACACCTGACTCCTCTGGCAGCCTGAGGTCCTCAGTGACAAAGAGACAGCAAAGAAGTCCCAAGATAATCATAAGAATTTGTTATTGAATCTGACCCAGGCTCTTCTGACCTTGGTGGGCTGTGGAATTGTGACCTGATTTGCTTAGAGATAATGAACCCAGAAAGGGTCCCAGACCGGTTTCTCTAATCTTGGACTGAAGAGGCATTTCTACAGAAGAACAGAGCTTTTCTGCAGGAGAACAGACAGCTCTTAAGGTCCCTTCCAGATGGACACTGGACTCGGGACATTTCATTTGTTCTGTTAAAGCTGTTTTAAAGTAGAGACAATGTAGAAAGGGGAAATCTTCTAGCTAACCTGGAATTCTAATCCAATGTCAGAATTAAAAGTATCAGAGCAGACGTTATAACACATCATATGGCAATGCTGTTCTCTGGAGAAACCATAGGACTTTAGAGATGAGACAGAGAAAACTCATTTCCCCTTTACAGATATCCACCGTTCGTCCCTTGAGTGGAGTGTGACATGCAGGAATAGCTTTGAAACCAAAAAGATTTGGTTTGAAATCCACTTGTACAATGAGATAGCCAGCCACCTTTTCCCAAGCAGCAATTTCGTACAAAAGCATAATTATACCCACCCAACCTGCATGAGGTATGAAACTCCTGCACTGCGTGTCTTAGGAGACTGATTTGCTGTTGTGCTGTTTTCTTCTTTGACAGTCTTGCTATGTACCACAGGCTATCTTGAACTTAACTATATGGACAAGACTGACCCCGAACTTATGATCTCCTGTCTCGGCCTTCTGAGTGCTGGAGTTGCAGGCAAGTGCCCAACATTTTCCAGTGTTCTCTCAGAACAATACACAAGGCTTCAGGACTTCACCCCGGCACTCTGCTTCTTTAACTCAGTCTCGGGGTGGATTTCTTCCCCCCACCTCGTCTGCTTTGGCTTCAGCAGCTGAGGCTAGAAGGATGCTCACAGCCCTCTGAGGCTGGTCAGTGAGAAGGGAGGCTTTTCAGAACTTTAGTACTCTGGGAACCATCCCTCCTCCACTCTCCAGAGAGCAGACACAGGTACGTAACAACTGTGCCGACAGACAACCCCACACAAATCTTCATTCCGAAAATAACACTTTATTATTTTACAATAGTTCAGGAAAGTCCTTGGGAGGTTGTGACTAAAATGGAATCACCATAGAACATAGAGCTGATCGGTGAGCCCATCAGTCCTCCCTCTTCAGGTGATGAGCACAGAAGGGAAGACATGATGTCGGCAATGAGAAAGCCGGCGGCTAGCAAGGGGGGACCACAGCTCTCAGGTCTGGATCAGGAATTTCCTCTTCTCTTCCCATTGTCTAAGCCCTGTTCGCAGAGCCGGGTGACAATGGCATTGAAGACAGAATAACTTACAACCACGAGCCGTAGCTCAGGGGTTTTTGAGCTAGAAGTTGCGATGCTCCGGCTCCTGAGTGGCTTCAGGACACGCACACATGCCCCAGCCCCAGTGGAGGGACATCCAGAAAACAGGATGCACCAGGCCTTGAGTCCCAACCTGTCCTCTGTTGTTATGGGAACTTTCTAAGATACGGAAGGGTTGGAAGTGGGAAGGCTGTTCTAAAAACTACAATTCTGACATTAGAGATGAAGGAATTACAAGTTCTGAGAGCTGTGGTTGTTTATATATATAAAGTGAAAAATTTATTTATAACTTGTGAAAAACAGGATGAGGAGGACATGAGCCGTCAGGAATAGATGGGACCGGGAATGTTAGAATGGTCTCAGAACCCTCTTCCAAATAGCAGTGCTGGGGGTCTGAAACAAACAAAACAAAACAACAACAACATGAGGAAGTCAGCTCCACCTGAGGCTCTTTCTCTTCACCAGTAATTCTGCATCTTAGCCAACTGATCCCATCCTCACAGCAGAGCGGCACTCCAGGAGAAAGTTTCCTCAGGGGCTGAACACCAATAACATTGCTCATCTCCATACCTCAGCCTGTTCCCACAGCCGAGTTCTCCCTGCGTCCTTCCCTCTTACCCTTCGGCAGCTGCTGTCTGGGACATCTATCCATACAGATGTTTCGTGAGAGCCACCGGTACCAATCGTAGGAGTCTGGGGCGGCGGATTCCATTCACTCTGCCCCAGCCTGTGTTGAGAGAAAGATACAGCACACGTCCCCTGCATGAGCATCTTCCCAGCCATCCTGGGAAGGTGGCTTGGGGACTGGCAGCAGAGATTTCTCCCATAGGCCAGGCCCACACAGTAGTAAAGGAACTGCTTATTGAGGATGCTGGCTTGGGTGCTTCCGGCTGGGAAGCTGGTTAGTGTCTGACCCATGGAAGCACGACTAACAACGGAACTAGAACCCAATGCCCGTTTGTCTTTATGCCTCATGTTCCTCCCCCCCCCCCCCACACACTACATTTCATTCAGAAACTCACTCATTTCTCTCTCCCCTTCCATCTCCACCCCACCCTGGTTTTTTCTTTGTTTTTGAGCAAGGGGCTTACTATGCAGCCCAAACTGGCTTTGAACTTACTATTGTCCTGGCTCTGCTTCCCAGGGCTGGGATTACAGGCATGCTCCATCACTCTCAACATTTTTTTTTCAATTTATAATAGGCAAAGGACTCAAGAAATTTTGTAGGACTCTTAGCATGAGGCTGAGCTGCAACCACTGCAGCGTCTGCAGCTTCTGCTCTGATTTCTGCTGATGTACTTATTACTTCATTCTGGAAATTCTCCATTTAAGGAGAAGCTGCCATTACTCAGTGGCCTCTGTGAACAACAGGGCAAGGCCTGTCTCGTCACTCAGGGCAGACATTTTAACTGGAGTGGGGGGCATGCGAAGCCCCTTCCTCTTCATGTTTCTTCCCCACACAGGGAATCTCCATCAACTGGACACTTTTCTATGGGTTGCTGTCTTCTTCAGCAGAGAGGAAATACCTTAATCTGAACCTGGTTCAGGTGGGCCATATTTAGTGGCCCTGCTCTCCATTCTGGGTTTGTTGTTATCGTTGTTTTGTTTTCTGAGACAGGGTTTCTCTATGCACCTAGGGAGTCTGCCCTGGAACTTGCTCAGTAGACCAGGCTGGCTTCGAACTCACAGAGATCCACCTGCCTCTGCCTCCCAAGTGCTGGGATTAAAGGTGTGCATCATCAACACCTGGCCTCCATTCTGCTCTCAGTCCGAAGGAAAGGGGGAAGGGGCTAACCTTAGGTTAATGTGGTCCAGACGCAGGCTCCAGACTCATCCTGAATAAGCTGTCTCAAGTGGTCCCGAGCCTCCCCACGGACCAGGTTTCTCATAAGTGGCAGAGAAACGGCCATGAACAAATGTGTCTGAAAGTCTCTGCAAGGCCACTACACAAGCTGCACTGTGTTCCCGTAGAGCCTACCCTCAAGGCTACCTAGACGGTGTTGAGAACAAAAGCTGTATATAAGCTGGATGGGAAAGAAGGAAATCTCAGCTAAGACCTGCTCCCTGGGGAAGGCATTGCAAGAAGGCACAAACACCCCTAGTGCCGTTCATTCTGAGGGAAGAGACGGCGGACACAGTGACTCGCCCTTACACATGTAATGGAGGTGTCTGCTGTTTCTTTCCACGTAAAGGGGATCTCAGCAACAGAATGCTGCAGCCACACCACCTTCTCACACACAGTGATCTCCAGTTTCCTTGATGTGGAATAAGTAATGAGCAGGACACAGCTGTGTCTTTCCAATCACATTTGCGGTAGAGTACCCACAATATCACACACATTCATGCCCTCCTAGATGGCCAAAAGCCGGTGACTGGCAAAGGGAAGTTCAGGGTTAGGTAGTGCATTTGCCAATAAATCAAGCCACACTCCTTCTTAAGTGCTCTTCTATTTCCCTTAGGTTACAATCTTTAAAATTTCAATTGGCTAGCTAGGTGCGGTGACATATAGTTTTAATCACAGCACTTGGGAGGCAGAGGCCTGTGACTTCAAGGCCAGCCTGGTCTACAAATCAAGTTTCAGGCCAGCCAGAGCTACTCAGAAAGAACTTGTCTCAAAAACAAACAAACAAAATCTGGGAGTCAGACAGGTGATGAGAATGCGTTCATTTGGCCCTTTAAAAACTCTGACGATGGGGTCGTGGAGATGGCTCAGTTGGGAAGAGCGCTGGCTTTGCAAGCATGAGGATCTGCATCCCCACCCCCGGCAGCCATGTGAGAGCTGCCTGATTGTGTGCACCTGCAGTCCCCAGGGCTAGGGAGAAGACAGAGGCAGGAGGATGGCTAATGACCCCTGGTCACTGAAAAATGGCAAGTGCCAGGTTCAATGAGAAACTCTGTCTCAGGGGACAATGTTAGAAAGGGTTACACCAAGACACCCAACATTGTCCTCTGACCTTGCCCCCTGCCACACTAAGAGCATATGGCGAACTCTACTCCACCAAGATTACAACTCAATTTCATTAAAATAACATACACTGGCCATACACAACAATAGGTTTCATTACGATGTTTTCATACACGTAGATAATATAGTTTTATCATATTCACCCATCACCCTCTCTTGTCTACCACCCAATTTCCTTGCACACAGTGTATGATGGAGGGCGAATCATGCTCCTGTACCTTGGCTGTGTCTCCCCTGTTGCCTCCGGATCCCTCTTTTTTTCTCCATTTATTTCCTGGGGCACGCCTGGAATATGTGGTGGCCCCTAGAAACAACAACAGTTGTGAGGGAAGCTCTTCAGACACCATGTGTGTGCAAACCGAGAGCCTTCCACTGTGTAGGGAAGTGACAATCCCTAGCTATCACTCTGAGTACTTCCTGCTGCTGCCTTAACCTCCTACAGCTCCTGCACCTGCTTCTCCAGGACAGCGCAGTGCTTGGAGAGGTCACTGGAGTGGTGCTGGCTCTTGTGGGGACTCTGGCTGACGTCGCTGAGCTGGATGGAGAGGGTGTTCTTCTCCTCCAGCAGCTGTGAGAATTGCAGCAGGGGTGAGGATAAGTGCCAGCCCAGACCACATCACTGGAAGCAGTGCTTAGGCAACTGGCCTGAACTTGCAGGACCTACCTGATTTGCAGTGCAGAATCTACCTTAGAGTCCTACCGCGGCCTGCTTCTTCAAAGGGAAAAATACCTAAGTGTTTCAGCCACGAAAGGAAACTAATTCTGGAAGAAGAGCAGGAAACTGGTTTATTTTTACTGGTTCCAAGGACTATGAACTGAATAACGATTAAAGAGAACCAACCCCCTAACAAAAATTCCAGTAGAACAGGCTATTCCAGGAATGTATGCAAAGCACAGAAGGTTGGTTCCATGCTAAAATTACTAATAAATAACAAGCCCTAGAACTCAGTATAGACAGAGAGCAAGCTCACACTTAAAAATGTGTGTCATAGTATTACTGGGTGTACATGTTTCCAAGGGAGCAGACAGAAGTTATAAGTCTCTATGCGTACTTGTGAAGCACAAGTGAGAGCCCAGATGCTCACCAAGTAGAAACAGTATGCCAACCTTTTCTCTAGGTCCCGAGGGATAAGCCACAGTCAGATATGTCCCTGCACAAGTTCAGTCAGGGTACCCACTACCTGGCAAAGCAATCTAACTGCTGGTTTCTAAACCAGAAAACATTTTTACTATGAGTGAAAACATTTAGCTGACTGGGATGGACTCCTCTTGAACCAGAATTGGGATTCTTCACTTGTGGACTGTCATTTTAAACTTCAGTCACGATTAACACCCAGATACATTGGTAGCCATGGAGACGTCCTGAGTACCCACCACGGAGACACGGGAAGGCTTGGGTCACAGGAAATGGATGGATCTGGCTATGAGTCTTGTGTTCTCTTGAGGATTCTCTTCTACGTGTTTGTTAAGAAAGTTCATCAATGCTTCAGAGAAAACAGATTTCTAGAGACAACTGGGAAAACACATTGGATGCACACAGATAGCACACATGATTACAACGTGCTCTGTAACTGAACGTGGCTCCAGATGACTCCGTGTGGTTGTTACTCTAAAGATCAAGTTTCAGTTTATAAAACATTTGGACAAATTCCATCTTCATTGAAAGAAGCAGAGAAAGCACCTCCCTCCTTTTTTACAGATGGAAAAAGGAAGTAAGTTTACACTACTCAAGGCCATGGCAGGAGCAGCTCCCAGAGCAAGGCTCACAGGTGTGGATCTCAGTCTTGAGTCCCACCTACTTTATGATGCTTCCCAATCTAAACTACAGTAAGGGCACTGGAAAGGCATGGGTGTGGGAAGAAAGGCTGTTACTGGAGAAAAGGGTGTGAATTTTGGGGGAGCTAAAGTTATTTGAGGGTGGTGGGCTGAGTACAATAGGAACTCCAGGGTGAGGACTAACCCCATGCTCTCCCACCACAGGAGAAGCAATCCTAGCTGGAATGAACAGCCCCCAGGTACACCAAACACAAGTAAACGCAAGCAAAACAAATCTCCCCATTTTAAAATTGTTTCTCATTTTGTCTCTAGTAAATCTAGAAACAGAGGTCAGACCCATAAACTTGTTGGAAGCAAGGCTTATGAACTACAAAGACAAATAGTCGATCACTAATCAGCCACTCGTAACCCATCTTGGCTGTCTGCATTCTGTCTAGGTTTCTGGGGTTAGGAGCAGGCATAGGATCCAGGAGCACAGCCCTCCCAGTCAGTGTACATGGAGTCTCACTGGAGCAACCACTGCTCATAGGAACGGCTGCTGTGGGGCTGCCACTACAGAGATGTGCAGTGCACAGACCACTTAGGCTCCTCAGTTTCTGCCTCTGTTTTACTCACAGGCTAACTGAATTCAGTCCACTAAGGCTAGACTAACATTATACCATTAGTCACGTTTTAAGGTTTCTATCACATTCCTACACTGCACAGAGACATTGAGCTAAGCAGGTAGAACTGTGTACAACACCTTAGCATTTAGCAAAGGAGCGAGGGCAGACAGGGTTAGAGAGAAACACGTGTGACGGCCCCTCAACTTCATCTCAAGTGAGAAGCTGGGACCTATAGGGAGTGAGACTAAGCTCACATGACTTAAGGTTTTATGTGTGTCCTCAGTGCCTACCCCATGAGCAGAATCTCAGCCGGCAATGACAGTTACTTGTTAACTAGTGGATGAGCGAGGCTAGGGAGGTGCCTTCCTTGTAGCCAGACTC